ACATCACCCAGAGGTGCCCTGCTCCTCCCCACCTCATGGGAAGCTGGAGAGGTCCGATGTGCTGGTTCCGGCTTGGAAGCTCTGGGTTTTCTGGAAGTAACAGCGCAGCCTGCGCTTCTCTGTGCAGTCTGAGCTGGGTTCTAACCCCAACTACTGCCCCGCCCACCCCGTGGCCACCCCACCCTTGGGGCCCTGGCAGGTAGCGAATGGGTGGGCAGAGACACCCTAGCAGCCATCAATGCCTCTTCCTTCCTCTTTGAAGGATCTGATGCTGCTGCCGATGAGGGCTACTTCATCTATTAAACCCAATACACTTGTCGCAGCTGCTAAGCCCCCGTAAGCCGCCGGGCGCCGTGTTTGTGATGGGACTGACAGTGCATGGAGGAGGCTGATTATACACGATTCCATTTCGCGGGCCCAGCAATGTAATTTCACAGGGCGATCAGCGTTTGCATGTAATAGCAGGCTGTGCTGAGGTGTCAGAATATTAAAGGCGCTAATGGCAAAGCTCCCTGTTACACAGGGGGCCACCCGCCGCGCCTACAGCAGGGCTGCGCGGCAGGCCCGTCGCAGATGGCTGGCCACTAAGCTAATGGGGCAGCAGCCAAGGCGGGCAGAGCCGCGAGAAAGGAGAGCCAGTCGGGAGCAGCTCGGCACCTGCTTCCCCGCGCATGGAAATTACAGCAGCCCAGGGGAAGGGAAGTGTGCGTGCCTGCCTGGCACAGGGCTGTGGTGGGATGGTTTGCTAAACCCCGCGTCTTTTACCCCAACCCCACCTGCCCCGGACAGGACTCAGGGGCTCCTCAGTCATCCTTCCGTCTGCCCCACTCTTTGGCCGGGAAGCCACAGCTGGGCTGGCGGGGATGGGGGGGGGGGTCCCTGGTGGCTGGGAGAGGTGCAGCTGGAGAAGTGGCACCCCAAGAATTTGGAACCAGTCTGGGAAAGGGACTTGGAACAGGCTTTTTTTTTTTTTTTTTTTTAAAGGCTATAGACTTTATTTTTTTATTTTTTATGACAGTCACAGAGAGAGAGAGGCAGAGACACAGTCAGAGGGAGAAGCAGGCTCCATGCACCGGGAGCCTGACGTGGGATTCGATCCCGGGTCTCTAGGATCACACCCCGGGCCAAAGACAGGCGCCAAACCACTGCGCCACCCAGGGATCCCGGAACAGGCTTTTTGGCAAGAGCTCTCAAAACCGATTCCTGCCTGTGCTGTTGGAGGTCAGAAAGCTTGTAGGTCCCTTACCCCCACACTGTGCAGGCTGGCAGGAGAGGGAGGGAGCAGGGATAGGAAGCAAGTGAGAGAAAGGGGATGGACAATAATTAGGTTCCTTGATTGATGCCCATGTTGCCATTGGTACACGGAAGTGAGAGGCGGCCCCTCAAGATACGGGTCTTTCTGGCTCTTTCCATCCTTGGTGGCTGCCCCTGCCACACCCAGGCCCTTGCTGTGCTCTCACCGGACTTGCTTCTGCCATTCTCCTTTGTCCTTGCTGTGTCTCCTGCCTGCAGTGTTGTCACCACCACCCACCCAGCTGTCCACTACCACTCCCTCCAGGAAGCTTTCCTAGCTGCCTCCAATGCCAGACAGGCCTGTTTATCTCTATTGTCCCTGTGGACAGCCACAGGGGACGGCCTCCCCGATCCTCCTGGTCTACCAGTTCCCTAGGTCCCAGCCTTGCCTTCTCAGCCAGAATCTCTGAGACACAGCCCGTATCACCTTGTCCTGAGCTGGGCTCCTGGGAAGGCTCTGCTCAGATTCACAGACAGATGTAATCTTGGGGAGGATGCCTGGAGGGAACGGGGAGTGGAAGGATAAGCCAAGTAACCTGAGGGAGAGTTTGGTGCCTGTGTGGGTATGCACGCTTGATAGTGTATGTATCTGGCAGGGAGACACTTCAGAAGTGTGTGCTGGGGGGGGGGGGAGTGGGGGCAGGGGCGGTGTGGGTAGCAGGTGTGAGGATCCAGACCACCCATTGGTAGGAGGAACACAGAGTGCCATAGGACCCTGTGTTCTCTGGGTGGCTTTCTATGTCCCCTGGCTGTGACCGAGGGGTACCTCAGATGGCAGGAGCTGGAGGGAGCTTGTGGTGCCGTGCCCTAGCATGTGCCTGGGGGGGGGCGGTTCCTTGAGGTTGGCGGTCACTTCTGAAGGTTCAGCTCTGCAGGGGTACCTGGGGGAGACATGCCAGGGTTCTCAGCAGGGGCAGCAGGGGGAGAGCCCAGGCTGAAGGAGAGCAGTTTTAATTAACCGTTTTTAATATCATTTTGGACTTTGGCTGGTATGTGAAGGCCCCGCTGGAAGCAGCATTTGTAAAAATTAAATCCCTCTTATTAGGAGCTTGGCAGACCCATGTGCACGTGCTGCCCCCTTCCCCCCGCCTGTGCCCCCCTGAGGAAGTGCTGGATGAGGCCGTGTCACAGCAGCAATTGGTTATCATGCCTTATCTGGGAATATGAAACTGTGCGCATGACACCCACGGCCACGCTGGAGACACCAATTCATCTCGCCCTCGCTCTGACAAGCTAGACTGCCCTTCCTGAAAGGCATCCGTCAGGCGGGCCCAGGCCGCCGCCTCGCCTGCTGCCTCTCCTTTCCTTCCTGGGTCCCGGCTCAGCCTGGCCCTCCTGGGCTCTGGCCCTCTCCTCCCCCTTGCGCATGTCCCAGTCTAAGGACGATCTTGGGGGGGAGTCATTATAATAATCTAGTCACAGTGACGCGTCGGGGCAAGCGTCTAATGTTATCTGAAGTGGTCTTCCCGCTTAGCTTCGATAAGACTCGGGATGACGTGCAGATAACGTTGAGCTGCCCTGTCCCCCAGCCCCAAGCAGAGCAGAGGGGCCTCCGCTGCCCGCCCGCCGCTCTAAGCCGGGAAGCGGCAGCACCTGCTAATGCAAGTGTTTAATATTTGATGGGCTGGGATAAAGCAGGATCACCTTCGAATTGAATTGAGTGTCAGCCGAGAATCTATTACTGAAATTCGGGTGTGATTTGACAGCAAAGTAGACGATGTTATTCTTCACTAGTTACTGCAATCTTCTCCCCGACATCACTTAAATATTTTTTTCTTTGCTTGAGTAAACACACATTATCCTTCTTTTTTCCCCCCTTCCTTCCCTTTTTCCTTTTTAGAGGGGAAAAAAACCCATCCAGCTCGCCTTCTCCAGGCTGATAGGGTAGATTGTTATTTCTTTATTTGTCCTATTAAATGGAATTTCTGATCGTTTAATCCGGCCTTTGTAAGTGATTTTAAAGTACTTGAAAGCCGGCCCGCCACTGCTCTCTGGCCCACTGCGCTCCAGCCATGGCCCTGACCACGCTCAGCAGCTCATCCAGCTGTGCACCACCCACTGGCTGCTTTCCCTCGCTGCCTGCGTTCCCCAGCGCTGCCCTCACTGCCCTGGCTGTACACCAGCGTTCTCTCCCCTGCCCTTGAGCCTCGCACTCAGCCCCCGGTTTGTGGGTCCAGCTGTGGCCTGAGAAAGTGTGGGAGGGTTGTCTGGGAAGTCAGGTTGTGGCTGGTACCTGTGGTCAAGGAAACTAGCTCGGGAGGGCACTGATGTTGAAGGACCTGCAGGGCCGGGGCTTGGTTCCTGCAGCTGAGAAGGCAGGGTACCAGCCCCTTGGCCTCAGCACAGACTCTGTATCCAGCCTCCTCTCCTGTCTTTTGTTTCTGACCCAGTGTTAGGCCCTTCCTGCTGTGAGGGAGTCTCTGGTGGGATGGGGACCTCCATACCCGGGCACGAGTGGGGACACTACAGTGCCTGTCTGACCGTGGCTGCAGTCACCTTAGTTCCACTAGTGACCCTCGGGTCTAGCTTCTGGGAATTCCTCAGGCTACATGCCTGTTGACCACATCTCATAGGCTTCCTGCCATTGGGAGCAGGGCAGCCTAGGGTTCCAGGACTTCAAAGGTGAGGGGATGGGTAATGTCTGAAGGGCCAGCCAGCTGCACACACACCCCCCCCCCCCCGCGCTCCCGCAAAAGCCCAGGCTAGCAGGCGGAGCAGGGATTCAGTTCTAACTTAATAGCTTTCTAACCCTTGTATAAGTCTCTTCTTTCTGGGCCTCAGTTTCCTCATCTGTGATGTCAAGTCAATTATTCCTATAAGGGATTGTGAAAGAAAATACCATCCCTGGTCCTGCTATGTACCACCCCCCACCGTGGAGGTTGGTGGCGGCCAGGTGGCGCGAATAGGGGATGAAGGGGGGCAATGAAGTGCTAGGGGCCTGAGCAGATCGATGCCCCCAGCACTTCCTTCCCCAACCCCAGGAAAACAATTAAGTACAGATCGATGGGTGGCTGCTTTGAATATGCATAAGTGAGCACTTGACCTTCAGCAGAGATCTGTTCCCCCCTAACACACACACACACACACACACACACACACACACACACGCTCTCTTCATGTGTTCCCCTCACAGCTGCTTGAGTCGACCAGGTGACCTTACCCCTCTCAGTTGAGCCCATGCATGGCACTCAGCCTTCCATAGCCTGGCCTGCCTCTCAGCCTAAAGCAAGTAGACCATGGGCAGTTGGTCCTCTCTGTAGAGTGAAGTTTGGATATGTTGGTCTCCACATCCTTCATGACACCAGGCTTTATGACCAATAGTACTGTGGTGAGGGGCCCAGCACAGTGCTGGGTGCACTGGAGACCGGGAGACTAACAGGGCTGTCTGGTGAAGGGAGTGCCCTGATGACAGGATGGTCCCGATAAGGAGGGTCTTAGTAAATGGGAGCTCTCTAGAGGAGCCTGGCAAAGGGGCACCCAGTGGGGGCTGGAGGTCTCTGATGGGGAGAGGCCTAGCACAAAAGGAGCTCTGAAAGAAGGGATTTTCTGGTGGGGGTCCTGGTGGCAAGGGGACCCAGTGAGGGGGGACTCCCATGAAGTGACACAATGAGAAGAAGCCCCTAGTGGGAAGATTTGGCTGGAGGGTGGAGGTGGTGAGTACTGGGGGTCAGGGCCTCTGTTAACCATTCTTGCCTCCTGTCTTCCAGGCTTACAGCTTCGCCATGGGCTGCTGGCCCAAGAATGGACTTCTAGACATGAACAAGGGCCTCAGCCTGCAGCACATAGGCCGGCCCCACAGCGGCATTGGTCAGTCCCTCCACATATACCCCTGGCAGCTTGGTCAGCCCCCTGCCCGCATGCCCTCATCCCCTAGTGCACAGAGGGGTTCTGCGGCTCATTCTGTGCTCTAATGGGGTGTTTTCCATAGATGGGGGGAGTGGGGAAGGAGGGTGGAGTAGGGGAGAGTGGAACCAGACCATTGGAAAAAAATCTCTCAAAACACTGTTTAGGAGGACAGTGGGGCCTGGGCTTTGGGTGGGTCGCAGGTGGCCTTGGATTCAGGCCAAGCTATCCCTGACCCCGCCTGCATCTCTGGTGGGTGATGTCCTCAGAGGGGTGGGCACATGTCTGCTTACCCACCCCCACGGAGCTAGAGGAGGCTGTTTAATATTGTTTCAAGTCTGTGGCTACTAAACTGGGCGATCAATGGGAGTTAAGGAGATGAATTATTTAAACCTCACCAGCTTTTAATTAGTCGGGGTCCTTCTGACCGATGGCTCCGTCCACAGGGTATTGACTCCCCTGCAGGAGCAGCAGCCTCCATTGAGCGGTGCCTCGGTTGGGAGGGGCCACTTGGGGTACCAGGTGGGGGTGCACCCTCAGAGGGATCCCTGCTTGGGAGGGGGCTGGAGTGGCTGTGGTTCTAGGCATTAGAGGCTCGGCTAACTTCCGATATATCAGTTTTGGGGTGTGTGTGTGTCTGTGTAACAATATATCTGGGTTGATTTTCCCAAGGGCATTTGTCTGTTTATGGAAGCAACCATCAACTTGTGTGTGTATCCACCAGAAAGTGTGTCTTTTCATTTCTGTGTATCTCATTTTCTGTGCGTGAGCACACGTCATGCAAATGCTTTCAGGCTTGGTACTTGACAAGATAGGCTTTGTTCCAAGTGGGGAGGAGGGGGAGTATTCCTGGGAGGTGGTATGACATTATCATAACTTGTGTACCTTTGGGGAGCTGTGACAGCAGAGGGGACTGGCAAGATATACCAGAAGGACTCAGTCACCTCTCAGTGACTAGCCCTTCCTTCTTCCCGCAGACATCACTGGTGCCTAGTGGGTGCTGGGCATGCTAAGTAGGGATTCTTGTCCTCAAGGAGGCCATATCCTAGGACGAGATGGATGAACTGGGTACTCGGGGTACCGAGGGCCATGATAGGAACACCTAGGCTGCTCCGTGGGAGGGTTCCCCTGACCTCAGGTGCCAAGGTGACTTCTGCTTCTTTATTTACATCTCCCTGACTTCAGGGACGCTCTGTATCATTCTTATTGGGACACCTCAAGGCTCTCCTGGGGTCCAGGGGGAAAAGAGGAAGCAGTCAACACGCCTGAGGGAATTGGGGCTGTCCCACAGCAACTGCTGTTCTCCGAAGGAGCTATTCCATACAACCTAGAGAAGACCCCAAACCTAGCAAGGTGATATGCTTGGGAGCTCAGCAGGGAGTTTCCTAGAGAAGAAGACTCTCGAGTCAAGAAATCCTTGAAAGATGAATAGGAGTTCGCTAGGTAGAAAAATGGGGGAAGGATTTTCTACTTAAGTGCAGCTGTGTGTACAAAAGCACAAGAGCACGTTGAAGACCACTTAGACCCCTACAAATAGTTTGCCGTGACTGGAATGGGGGGGACATTTGGATCAGGGAACAGCTGGAAAAGAAATGGGGAAATAAGCGGGTCTTTAATGCCAGGTTAAAGGGTTGGCTTTTTGATGAGGTTCTGAGGAGACAAGAGGTTTGGGAGGGAGAGGACAGCGCTATCAGAGCTCCTTCTCAGAGCCGACGGGGCAGCACACGTTGCACACTTCGATTCTTAGTAGATGCTCAGTAAGCACTGCGGGGTGGGCAGCTGGATAAACAAGGGAGTCGGTGACTGAGGGATGGGAAAGGGAGGGACCAGAGAATGAGAATCAGTGAGAAGACTTGCCCTGGCCCAGGCGGGGAGGGGCTGCAGCAGGACCCACGGGACGGCCGTGGGGCTGGGTGCCCTGCATCTGTGAATGTGTCCCAGCTGTGTTTGTGAGACGAAGAGGTTCCTTCTTGCCTGTTAGGACTCCTGAGATGTTCCTTCCCTCTCCAGGGAAGAAGGTTTTTCCATCTGGCTGGGCCACAAGAGGACAGTCCAAGGTGACAGGTGACAATGGAACCAAGAGGAAGTTCTGGCTCTACCACCCAGAGCCCTGTGACTTTAGACAAGGGACCCTGCCAGTGCCTCTCAGGGCTGTTGGGGAGGTTCAGTGAAGCACCTATGTAAAGTGCTTATGTAGTACCTGGCCTGGCACACAGTGGGTGCTCAAGTAGCCCCCTCCTCTATGGCCCTGCTCACACCATGGTCTCCCCAGGGCACTGGGGGTTCCTGGCCCTGGGTCTTTGTATCTTTGAATGCACAGGGCTGTCCTGCCAGCTCCGAGCTGCCTCTGAGGTGTGGGTGCGGGTGTTTGGAGGGGAGAGAGGATGCAGGGCATTAATTGGGCTGGGAGAGGCGGGGAGGGGAGGCGTTGGTTTTGAGCAGTGAGGTTAATGGCCCTCGCGCCAAAGAGACAGCTTTAATGAGCTTCAGCTGGCGATGCCCCGAGTTACTGTGCGTGTTAAAAGGGTCGCGCTGTAAGAGTTTGATGTGGACTGTTTCCCAGCCCTGGGGTCAAGGGTCAGCTCCTGTCACTGGCCACTCAGGCTGGTCCTCAGTGACATAGTGCTAATTAACTGCGTGAAGAGCTGCCAGCCTGAAGTGGGGAGTGGTATGCATATTGGTTGTTGGGGGGGGGGTGGCATTGGTGATGCTGGGCAAGGGTTCCTCAGATCCCACAGCTTGGCCGTCTCTGGAATCTTTTTTTTTTTTTTTTATTTATTTATGATAGTCACAGAGAGAGAGAGAGGCAGAGACACAGGCAGAGGGAGAAGCAGGCTCCATGCACCGGGAGCCTGACGTGGGATTCGATCCCGGGTCTCCAGGATCGCGCCCTGGGCCAAAGGCAGGCGCCAAACCACTGCGCCACCCAGGGATCCCCATGTCTGGAATCTGCTCAGCTCTCCCATGATGCCACGGTGGTGGGGCAGGGAGGGAGGCAGTGGTTCTGTGTGCAAATCACTGATGATCCTAGGCCCTAGAAGGATCTTCTGAGCCTCTTTGTAAGGTATGAGTGGCAGGGGGAGGTTTGTGGGGCCTACCTGGTGGGGACTGCCACTGAGCACTGGGTGTGTGGCCCCCAAGAGAGCAAGGGGCAGGCATGCTGGAGGGTTGGGCAATGGCTCGGGGCCAGGGCCAGGAGGTAGGCTGTAGGAGGGGATGGGGCCTGTTGGGATGGATGTGCACAGCTGAGCTGTCTGAGGAGGAGCCGTGGGAGCGTCCTGGCAGAGGAGTGACGTGGTCAGAATTGGGCTTTAGAGCAGTCTGAGAGTTTGCACAGGGAGGGTAACGAGGAGAAACTATAGAAGAGGAAGTTGACTAGGGTGCACAGCAGTGACGGTTAATTCAGAGCCAGCAGTAGCCTTGGGAACAGAAGCAGAGGACCGGGTCAGTGAGTGTCTACCTCACACCTGCTCTGTGTCAGGAGCTGTGCTGTGCATACCTATGAGGATGACGGACAGAGTGCCCTGCCCCCCAGAGCTCAACTCCGGTCGTCCACACAGGTACAGCTGGCCCTGGCAGCTGAGGGAGAGGTAGGCTCAGGAGCGGCGACAGTGGAGCTCCAGGTACAAAGGGGGGGGGGGGTCGGGGGCTGTTGGCATGGCCTCTGTCGGGAGAGGGACACTTCCTTCTGGGGTGCTGGGTTTGGCCTTGTGAGCCTGGTGAGCAGGGTGGCGTGGAGCGGGTTGTGGGCAAAGAGGACCCCGTGTCTGTGGGACTGCTGCCGCCCATGCTGTCAGTGGGCTCTGTCTACATCCTTGGTGTGGACCAAAGGCTTGGAGGCGGGTGCTCTGTGGTGCTTCTCGTGTTTCTGCAAAGGGTCAGCAAGTATTCATGGGTACTTTTTTTTTTTTTTTTTTTTTTATGATAGGCACACAGTGAGAGAGAGAGGCAGAGACACAGGCAGAGGGAGAAGCAGGCTCCATGCACCGGGAGCCCGATGTGGGATTCGATCCCGGGTCTCCAGGATCGCGCCCTGGGCCAAAGGCAGGCGCCAAACCGCTGCGCCACCCAGGGATCCCTCATGGGTACTTTTTATTAACAAATGTAATTTTCACACCAGTTTTATGGAAGGCAGGCATTATCATCCCCGTTTTATAGACTAGGAAGCTGAGACTCAGTTAAGTGACTGGCCTGAGGTCACACAGCCAGTTGAATTGAAGAGCCAGGACTCAAACCCAGGCCTGAGTGCAGAGTCTGTGTCCTTACCGCTGTGCTGAACTAGGAAGCACCTTTTTGGTGTCGGGCTTTGTGCTCCCAACAGAGACGATGAAGACGGACACAAGCTGACTTCCCTTGTTTCCCTCCGTTAATGTGAAACATACAGGCTTTGACCAAGCCTTGCCAAGGAAGAGAAGAAAGGAGGCATTGCCACCGCTTCACCCCTGCTGCAGTCGCCCTCCGAGCCAGAGCCCGGCAACTCTGACCTCCTTCTGTCTCTGACAGTTCTTACTCTGATTTGTTTGCTCTTCACCTTGTTGACCAGGAAAATCCTGCCCATTTTCCCAAGGCCACCTCTTCTGGGAATCTTGCCTGATTTCCTAGTGTGAATGTACAAAATACATCCTTGGGCCCCACTTACAGTCTTGGGGGGTGTGATGTTCAGGCCCTACAGACTTGATCTAACACTAGGACCCAGGCCTTCTTCCCTTCTTCCTTTTTAGAAATCTGCACAGGAAATGTCAGTAAAATCTCACCTGTTGTTGGGACAGGAACGCTCCACAGACTGCTGATTTCAGCTGGCCGGGAGAATAACGGGAACCTTCCCTGATGCCCAGCCGGGTGGTCCTGCCCTGGCTCCTTAGCCTCCCTGCTCAGGGCCTAAGGAGGGTCTCTCTGAGGCTCATGGTAGGAGGGATACCCAACACCCAAGTGGACTCTCAGGAGCTCGTTTCCCAGCATGGTTT